TTATTTCCTTCAACTCCCCACTTCATTTGCGAGTTCTAACGAAAAAATTACTAACAAAATAAAGTTGTGTGACCAAAATAAATTAATGAACAAATAATGCGGAGTTTGTATACGAATAAAAGATAGAGAAAATAAACACATTGTAAAAAAATATTTTTTTCAAATTCTTAGTATACTTCAGTTTAAAACGGTTTGATTTTCAAAGCGCAAAACTAAAGTTGAAACCAAGCCAAAACGGTTCGATTCGATTTTTTCGAAATTTGATTTTCTTTTTCTGTTCAGTTTATTTTTTGGCAATATTTGAATGCTTTTTATTCATTTTCTGATTTTCAGTTTTCCCAACCCACCCCTAATTGAAGGGGATAATCTGTTTTATATAGTTTAGAAATTTAGAAAAATTAAATACAATTTAGACTAAATACAAAGATGAAGATATATATTGAAGAGAAAAATTAAGAGCATTTTAGTGGGCAGGTGCTACAATTAGATATTTGGGTCCTTAACTTTTAGGCCCAAAGTGGAAGCCCATTTGCAAATCTTGTTGGGCCAGGGTGTTCCACCTTTTTTCTCAATTCCTCATAGTATCCGTAGCTAGCATACGTTCCATTTACTTAACATTTTCTGGCCTCAAAGAAAACCTAAATTGGTTATATCGAACACCCCCGGGGTGTCATATTATGACACGGGTATCCTACAATGTTCCATTCAAAAAGTTAATCGTTCTTAGTATTTAATTTTTACAATTAGCCCTCCTCAGCTCGGCCGTTCAAAAATTTAGTCATTTAACAAAAGAGAACTTGTAATGTTACGCCACTCATATTGTTGTGATATTAAAACACCGGTTCAATTAGAGTATTTAGAATACTTTGTTTAAAAATTTAATAGTTTTTACTTCTCGAAATACTCTTTTAAAGATCAATTGAATTCTGGATCGGGAAAGACTTTTGGAAACATGGCATGTGAAGATTTTTAAATTTTAAAAATAATAACTTTTTACTTTAAGGGTAAAACATGTCACTCTTATTTGGAAAATAAACTTGTGTTTTAGTCTATTTTGGATGAATTCTTTACAAAAGTTTGAAAAACTCCTAGATAGTCGATTCTAAAATATTTCTTTCGTCTAAGAAAACTTAGCCTATCATGTTTATCATTTCAGGTACCCGATAAATTTAGTTTTTCAATGATTGTTTTATAAAATTAAATATTCTTGTGACCACCTATTTTGTACTTGAATATAACATTTGATGTGATTTTTAAATTTGTAAGTTTTATATTTTTATTTATATATCAGTTTGTAAGTAAAATTGTTCTAAAATGGTTAAGATTTTGTGCATTGTTCAAAAAAAGAAAAAAACTTTTTTGGACACGAGTTGATTTTCCCATTGCTATTCTATTCCCTGATACTTTTGTTAACTTATATTCCATATGTTTTTATTGATTATTGATAAAATAAAATACTCCGTATTTTTATCGTTTCTTAATACGTGAGTTATACTTTTGACTTATATACCAAATTATAAATAAAAGAAGCTTGTTACATGGGGTGCTGATGTATCGGATGATTTGGTCCTTGATGACAAAAAATTAGCTGAAGCACTTGAAAAGGGCAGTCTTATTTGTTTTTTGTTTTTGTTTTTCTCTTTGTATTTCATTTGACAAAATGTGATGTTTTTGTTGTTGATAGCGTATTGTGTCGTCACACATATTCCACCTGTTTTGTATGCCTTTGACTATATTTCGCATAGTCATTATGATTTTACATTATCTATAGTTGTTTAGAAGTTTACTTTTGTTGACAAACTCCAACCACATCTTCTAATTTTGCTATTCTCTCTTTCATCTTTATTTCCCTACACTCTGTTGCCCCTGTAGGCCCCAAAAATCTCTACAGATCTAGCAATAAACAACTCCCTTTTCATTATTTTATTCAAATTTATTTTTTAGCCTTTCTACAGTAACTTCTATAAATGGAGGGTGTAAAAGTATATATATAGATGATGCTCTAAATTTTGGAAGCTCCGTTGGAGTACCAAAAACACTACAGTAGAAGCTATAAAATTCATTTTTAACAATATGGCGGATCCATTGGAGATGCCCTTAGGAGCTCATTTGGCATCCCAAAGTGTTTATTATGCAAAGAGAGTGATACATTCAGCCATATCACCCAAATAACGATAGTCAAGTGGGCTCAAACTCATTTGCCTTCTATAAAATTATATTCACATGGAAAATTGTTTTTAACATGTCAAAGGATCATAATTATGAGGCCTTATAAAATCATATTTAGTAGAGAAAGGGGTGGAGAATAAATGGGATACACCTTTGGTGTACCCCTAGCATTGCTCAGAAAGAAAAGCATCCGGTCAACCATATCCTTCTCACCATTTTGCACTTTCTTTTGCTCTTCTGGGCGGATTGGCTTGTGCACATACTAAAGGTAAACAGACCCATAAGAAGTACTCCCTCTGTACTAGTGTATTTGTCCAGTTTGACTTTTTTAAGTCAAACTGGATAAACTTTGAGCTTCAATTAAATATAAATCATAATGTATTTTAACATAAAATGACTTTATTGGATTTATCATATTGAGAACTTTCAAATTGTTTTTTCGTTATGCTAATATGCAATATAAATTTGGAGTAATTGGAGTTCAAAGTTTGTCTAGTTTGACTCAAAAAAATCAAACTGAACAAATACACTGGAACGGAGGTAGTATATATCAAATCAATATTAATCACATCCAATGTGATACTGTCATTTACTCTATCTACACTCCCACAAAACTTTTCCATTAAAAAAAAGTAAATTCTACCGTCCACGGTGTACCGACAGATGAGGCTGATAAGCATTTGCTTAATGTTAAATCGGATATATTTTTTTTTAAAAAAACTAAAACTAATTTTTATGTGAGAAGATCCACAAAATGTTTATACACTTTAGGTACAACAAAGGAGCACCCTTAAAAAATGTTGGAATTTGAGAAATGTATGTTAAATTTTAGTGTTACTTTATAGTAGGATAGAATAAGATATGATGGATCAAATTAATAATGAATTGAGGTGGTTTTATACATTGGTTAATCATGAGTAAAAGTGAAACCTTGGTGTTGATTGGGCAACAAAGAGGGGGTCTTGAATTCGAATTCCTTGGGCCATTCTTATTCAGCGCAACCTTGGTGTTGATTGGGCTCGGCTTGATTCAGGTTATTCATTCATTAAAGTCATGTTTTTTGACTTCGCGCATGGGTAAAGAGGATGTCAAGTCCGTCGATCATAAGGTCGAATCCCGGTAGCGACACGTGGGGGTTCCATTATTTATAATAGTTTCTTGTACGCATCGGGCATGGGACGACCTCTCTAAAGATCAAATTGAGACTATTATATCATAACTTACCTCCTCTTCCTCCCCTCACAATCATGTCGGGTCGGAGAGTGCAGGCGCCCGGGGTGGGCGTTCCACCATTGAAGTCCTGCTTCTTTTTTTTTTTTTTTTTTTTTGACTTGGGACATATTAATGTCATAATGTAATTGAAAAGATGGAAAATGTCCTAAGCACTATGCACCAAACTAACTTTGATGTGGCAGGCATTTTGGCCATTGGGTAGGTTTTCAAAGATGATACACTCGGCATTGTCAGCGATACTATACTGTGGGTACATCATATTCGACACATATAAACTCATCAAGCGTTGCAGTTATGATGGCTACATATGGGCCGTAGTTTCATTATACATTGATGTTGTGGGCCTCTTCCTCAGTTTCCTGGGCATTGGCAACAACATTTAAGTGCTACCACTAGTGTTAGCATTTTCCAAGTTAAATTGCACCGTTAAAATTATTCTAAAAGCTAATGCAAATTGAAAACTTAATTCGAAACAAGCCCGAAGTTGTTGGTGTAAACAACTTTTTTTTGTTATGTGGAGTAGATAACATGCGTCTACGTATTCCTTATTTCGAATTATTTTTACAATCTTATTGCTCGATATACAAGCTTGATTTTCAATATATATGTTGCTTTTAGTTGTCGAATCACGAAAGGCAAAGACAAATACGATACTCATCCGAGCATCTTATTATTGCTGATATTGTAGATCTTAAAACTCTTAGAAAACAAGTGATAACATGAGTATATTTTTTTTATAAATGATGGCATGAAAATATTCACAAGATTAAAATTTATTTACCATTTTTTAACTTATTTTTATTACTCACTTGATAAAATATTATAATTCATGTTATCATCACTTGTTTCATATTGTAGACCTTTTGATATAGTCGTAATTTTTAATTAATTAATTTTTATTTTTTAAGTCCACCTCAATCCTTAAATAAATAAAATTAAAAATAAATGTAGACAAACATCGTAAAATAAAATAAACGATTTAATTTGGGGTGAAAAGAGCAACCAGGAAATCACAATACCATGTTTGGGAACAAACTGGGGATCAGAATAGCATGGTTGTGTTGGATACGTTCAAGGACAAAATACGAGTAATAAAAAAAAGTCCGAGTTACTAGGAGTAAGCTATGAGTAAATTCAAATGCAACTTAAGTGCCATTTGGTAGGGAGCTTATTTTACTAAAATGCATAGATCAATTCATAGGCTCATGAAATAAAGAAATTTAATACCAGAGTTTGACACCATTGATGGCTCACAGACATGCATAGACAACGACTGTCTATGCGGGTTCATACAATGGTTCAGCGAGACACAGTAGTGTCACTAATGGTGTCAAATTTGGCGTCGCAATAGCATTGCCCGTGAAATTGACAGCATACGGAGTGGTATAAGAAAAACCCGTCGCCCACATGAATTCAAAATAATGGGAGCATCAAGGAGAGAGCCTAAGCCATTTAAATTATCGGGAACGCAGTTCTTTCCACAGTAATTTTTAAAGCATAACCAGAAACCTCATATATATACTAGACCCACACATAGAACCATTTGGCTTAGAGGGCAAAGTGGAAATGTCCAGTTGTCAGGAATGATGTGCTACAAAAATGCGAAAATCAAACAAGCCATTTCTAACTCAACATTATGTGGGAGCCTGCGTAGCTAGATGTTTTGTTTGCATATCAAGAAGATGGATCTACATATTTACCTAATACATATATCATAATGCATCCAAAAAAACCATTACGTGGGGGAAATTCATGCCCCCGTGTGCATCTCTTGTCACGTCTACCTAATGCGAAAGTCGAAATGGAACTTACATATGATTTGGTTCTCATGGCACGAGGACATACTACAAGTCTCCTCCCTACCTACGTCAACCTCCTTTCCATAGTTCGCTCCGTGTTGTCTAAAAAGCCAATGAAGACAACAATTTTACCACTAGTGCTCCTTTTTGTTAAAATGACAAAGATGAGCTTGAATGCAATTTTACAGGGATTAACAAATACTCGTGATCCATGGTTGTTAACAAGGTAGTTGATATAAATATTTTCACTTTTACCCCCATTGAAAGGTTAGTTAATGAATCACTTCTCTTGAAATTCTAGAGCTGAATATTTGAACAGGTGTAAACTAAAAAGGGAAAGTTATATGCACGTCCAATATAGATACTGGAATGTCTTCATGGGAAGAACCAAAATGGAATGCAACCCTGGACGGAATTACATAAAAATGGTGTGTTTGGTTTAGAAATTTGATAGGGAAAAGAAAAAAAAATGATATGGAAAGCAATTTTCTTGTTTGGTTAGTAAAGAAAAGAAACGTGGAAAGAAAAAAACATGGAAAGAAAAGAAAATGACAGCAAAAACTACATGTCTACACCAAGAAGAAAGAAAACAAGTTCCCTTCCATTTTGGTGAGGAAAAGGAGAAACATTTCCTAACCAATTCCTCAAACCAAACATAGCATAAGTTTTCAAAGTGAAACTTCACCAGAACTTAGGTGATTCTCTTACCCAATCACACATGTTATGAAATTTTGTTTTCCTAAGATTGTGCAAGGAAAAAAAGAAATCAATTGCTCTGGTAATCTGGTATTAAATAATAAACAATAATGCATTCTTAGACTTGAGCTAGGGAAATTTACGCTTGCAATTATCAATTACTTTTGGAGGGAGTGACACAATGTTACTAGAACCAGCAGAAGGATTGACATATATAATTAAATAAAGCATTGTCTGTGTTGCATGAGCAATAAATGTACTAACCTGAGTGTTCATTGGCGGTATGGTGTGGCATTTGAGGCTTCAAATAGATATCCAAACTAGGGGAAGAAGACACTTCTGCCCTTCTCTTGTTCTTGAACCTACCTAACAGAGATGTGAGAGGTTAAACGAATAAGATGAGGAATTACTTATCTTGTTGGAAGATTGAAAAATGTTGTGAGCTACTCCGTACATTTTTTCTTAAACAGGAAAGGGGATATGTGTAAAGTTTATTTCGGGGCAGATAAAAAAAGAAAGCGTGAATTTAATTTGGAGATGATGGGTAAACAAGCAGTTCAGTGAGCAAGACCTGTCCTTTCGCTTCTCAAGGTATCTCTTTACTGACGCCTTCCTACTTCCTGACCCCTCAACTGCTGGGAAAGATATAAAAAATACAAAACAAGAAACTAACTAATAAAAAATTGGTGTATCATGTCAAAATATTTAACACACATGTCACAAGAAAGGAAAATCATTCAGACAGAAGCTTGTAAAGCATGGCAGCAGGCAATGTGGAGGACAGGTATCTTACTAAGCTTTAGGCAACTAAATGATACTATAAATTCATGCTACTTACCCCGACAATGTTGGGACTAAAGTGACGATGAGAGTCAAATATTAAATATGATCCATCAAACAAGAAAATTATCTGAACCATAAAAAAATAGTTTGCTTAGGTTGCAACAAGTACAAGGAGAAGACTGGTGAAAAGATTACCGGGATTATCTTCATAAAATGGACCACTGTCTTCCATTTGTACATGAGAGTTGCCACTTTTTTTAACTGTAAAAGTTATTAAAAATCATTGATCACTAGATATCTAAAGTCAACATAATGGACTTCCACCACACGTCCAACACCAAACCCCACAAGTCCAAGATAAGGAAGACTTGCACTTGTTTCCAATAAAGAAGGATCCAGGAAAAATTATTTGTTTACAATAACATTACCCGTATGCCTTAGAGGCAAGAACACAAGAGAAGAATCTTGACCTGCTTCAACATCTGAAGGGTGTAAGTGGGAAACTAAATGTTGTGCTGGACAGTCAGGAGGCACATGGATTGGGCTTCCAGCAAGATGCATGATTGCCTGTACCTGTTAGTACATGAGTTACCTATATCAGAAAATGCTTTCAATCATGTGGCATCAACAATGATCTATGCTTACTTTAAGATTAATTAAGTTTCACTACCTTATCAGCGGGTACATCATCATAGACATTCACCTGGCCACAATAGAAGATTGTCATTTGTCCGACCAGAATATCCGTTAAACCAGATATTATCCTGTAAAGTGACGTCATTAGCAATATCAGTTAAATGATCACCGTGCTTGAGGGTATGGAAAATTCGAACATGCAAGTTCCACGAAATCACCATGCTCTTGAGTATGTGGAAAATGAAAAATCCGGATCTAACTTAAATGTGCCAGTTTATGCAACATGGTTAGACTGTGACCATCTTCCACAAAATCCTCATGCTCTATTAAATGCAAATGATGATAGACACAACAAATTTATCAGTTTCACATGTTATTTTGCAAAAATCAGAATAATGTAATTGTTAAGCCTGCACAAGCACAACATAATAGTGTGATGTGAACGCATTCTTTATAGAATAGCCATCTCAACATGGAAATCTCGAACTATCAAAAAGTGGAAAGCAACATTTTCTTATTGATAGAAGAGAAAATTGGGATAGAAAGAGAGAGAGAAGCCTTGCAGGGCCAAATACAATTAGAAAAAGAGCACCCAAAAAACTGCCAAGACTAGCATTCTACTTAATTTTCTCGGCCAGAAACCTAACTTATTTTTTTACACTGCTTCCAAACAAATGCTAGTCCATATATGTTGTCAGGGCAAGTATAGAGATAGAAGTATGATTGAAAATTGTTTAGAAGATAAAATATATTGTGAGCCATGCATAGGGAAAGCTGTGTGGGATTCTGCTAGGTTGTTGTTAAGCTATTTGGAAAGCTAGAAACGAGAAGATTTACCAACAAAGGGAGATGAAGATTGAAGATTGCATCAAATTGATTAAATTTTAAGTGAACACGTATATTAAATATAAAGCAAATAGGGTAGCATTCTTTAATTACTTTAACTGTATTTTGTGTGTTCTTGATGTAATGAGATTTGTTTAGAAGTTGCTGTTGAGCTAATAAAGATGCGCTTTGTTCACACAAAACAATTTGCTTGGAAACCCATTTTTATTTGATATCACGTTGGTTTGGTTCACAGCATGGTCAGGCCAGTTAATAAGCCCACCTATAAATCAAACAATAGTGTTAATGCATTCCATCATGCAGAAATTATATGTTCAAACCAACATTAAATGATTAAATACCTCATACAGTTGAACAATCGAACCTAATTTGCAAATTTCTCCTTCAGTGAATTCTTTCAAAGTCTTTACCACATCTCAGTCTCACTCTCCATATTTTTTTAGATGAATCCACATTCCATTTATGTCTTACATTCATATAGCTTGAATTTGTTACTGAACAAAGACCCTTACAGGTGTGTTATTGTAAAGAGTAATTTAGAACAAACTCAATTCCCCCTCTCACACACTCTGTGATGCTATCTTATCATATCCTATATCAACTCAATATATGATACAATAGTCACACATACACTTTATCCCCTCACACACTATTGAGTTGATAAAAATTACTCTCTCCATCCCACTATTTTTGGGACATGAGAGAGTGACAGAAAAGATAAGAAAAGTAAAATTGTGTGCTTGTTACTCCTAACTTTATTGATGTTAAAAAGTAAGATGGAGTAAGAATAAATGTGAAGTATACAAATATGACCAAATAGTTCAAAAATGATGCAAAAGAAGTTGCCGGGATTCTCGGGAGGGACTAGGGAGCAACACGCTTGTGGCCAAATTCAAAAAAAAATAAAAATGCTACGCGAATAAGTGGATACACAAGGTATAGCATGCTCCATTCTCATTTCAGTTAATTACTCATTTCAGTTATTTATTCAAACCATGTGTATGCATAATCCATATAAAACAAGCTGCGAAAGAGAAGGTTAACCTGGATTGAGCTGACTTGTTGGCAGCAGCTGCTGGAGGGGCTGGTGTTTGACCAGAAATATTAGGCTTCTCTACATCATTTCTACTGGTCCAAACAGCTTCTTCTGCAGAATCGGAGACTTCTGCTTCGGCAACAGCTACTTGCGGGACCTGCTTTGCCTTTGCTCATTAGCAAAATAACAAATTATGCATTTACTCGTAGACAGCATTGAATCCATAGCTGGAAATCTCTATATGCCACCTAAAGTGAAAACCTTTTTTTGAAAGACCAAGAATGAAAAGTTAAAAAGGCTGAGAATGATCGAAAAAACGCACACGGGCCACGTTAGCAGTAGCGACGGGAGGAATGTACAGCCTCTTGCTAGCACCGGCATGGGAATCCGGCGACGGTTCTCGGAGCCTCTTCAGCGATATCACTTGCTGAATTGCCTGTGATTTGTTCCAGGAAGGCCTTCTCATACCTGTACGGATATTTTCAGCTCGAACATGATAATCACTTACAGTACTAGAATCCCGAGCTGCTTCGGAAAATTGCAGAGGGATAGGGCGTAGTCGTACCATTCTTTTTGAGGTAAAGGCGGCAATCTTCGCGAGTGAGTTGAGAAATGTCTTCTTCGGTGAGCTGATCGAGCGGCTTGTCCAGAGGTGACTTCGACGCCGCCTCCCCGGAGGGCATGACGTCAGATTCCGGCATCAATTTTGTAGAAAACGCCTGGATTCTGGGCCGACGGGAGGAGTTTCAATGAGTTGAGCGAGTGGAGGGGAACGAGTTAAATTAGGCTTTTGAGATTTAAGAATGAGTTTGATTTTGTTTCGGAAACCCCAACGTCGCCGTTTTGCGTTCTGGTTGGTCGGGTCTTTCCTCAACTCACTCGCGCACATTATTTATATACTCCCTATTAGAGCTGGCAAATCGGTCGGTCAGGTCGGGTTCGAGTTCGGTCACTTCAAGTTCGGGTTATTTCGGGTTCAGGACAATTCGGGTTCGGGTTGAGAACTCTATGTTCATAACCCAGTGTCATCGGGTTCGGGTCGACCCAACGGGTTATGACTTTGGTTATTTAAATTTTTAAATTCACATTAATAAATTTAAAATATCAAAAAAAAGTAGTAAATCTATAAAATTATTTTATTGTAAACTCTAAAGTAGTATTTAGATATAAAAATCAATATAAGGAATTTAAAAATGCTTATGTTTTGGGGAAAAAGTAAGATAATTATGCAATATCATTAAAAATTTGTCTGAAAATATAAATTTATACACTAAAAACGAGTAAAAAAGTGTACAATTTTGAAAAATTCTTACTTTAGCGGGTCGGTCAGGTCGGGTTCGGGTTCGGTCGGGTTTGACCCATTTTTAGCGGGTCATTTCGGGTTCGGTCATCAAAACCTTTGTTCAAAACCCAGTGTTTTCAGGTCGGGTTTCGGGTCAAAAACAGGTCGGGTCACTTTTTG